TACCATGTATAAAAAAGGAACTTTAACTTCTCTATTGTGAAAAAAGCAAATAAGAACATATACTAACCAAACATCCATGTGCTGTGTATTCCTTCAAAAAGAAACTCCTCAGTGAACCAAACAAGACAATCTGATCTCTAAGATCAAAGAAGGCTAAAAGCAGTCAATTAGAAGGGAAAGTCAACAAAAATGAAATGAAATACTAAACCACAGAGCTGCCAAAAGAACACAGGAAGAAGTGAAACTCTTGGACTATAAAGGTCAGGAAAGGTAGACCTATTATGACAGTGAGGTCACCAGGGTCATTCCACCACCTCTGCCAGCGATGACCCTAAACCAACAATGTTAAGACTATATCCATGTGTCAGCATCCTTAAGATTAGATAGAGCAGAGGATCCTTTAAAATCACCTTACTCCTTAAAAATTAAAAATGTTTGGTAATGGGGCTGGAGATGGCTCAGGAGTTAGGAACACCAGTTGCTTCTTCCAGGGTACTCTGTACTCCAGGATGCAGGGTTCCCAGCACCCACGTGGTAGCTCACAACCACCTGGAACTCCAGTAAAAAGGGACTCAGGTTCCTCTCTTGGCCTCCACAGGTACCGGGCACACCCATGTGGTGCACAGATACACATGCAGGAAAAACAACCATACACACAATAAAATCTTTTTCAAATCGGCAACAATTCATGACATGTTTTGATTAGTCAATGACTTATTCCCCAACAACAAATGTTCTATATACTTTAGGCAGCTTTTACTCCTCCCATTAATCCACCCACACACCCAATGCCTGGTATTCTACAGCTCTTTCTATGAACTGTCAAGAAGCACCAAGCCCCTCTTACCTAGTGGCCTCTGTCTTTCATAGACCACTGCATTCTAAACCCCCAGAGTCTCTTCAAATTAACCAAATCCTCTCTAAGAAGCACTTGTTCTTCACAAACACACCATTAAAGAACAGGAAAGCAGCTAACAAATTAAACAGGGTTTACTTACCTAAAATGCTGCTTCTGACAAACAAAAATCATGTCATTATAATTAGTCAGATTTTAAAAAAAAATTAAATACCAAAGATCTGCTCTATAAGATTCTCAATCTAAAAACTCCCCTAAGTCCACAGAGTAAATCTTCACTCTATGAGGTAACTAGGCATGGCACTCTTGTAATCCCAGCAACAGAGGAAAAGGGAGGAGGGTCACAAGTTCAAGGTTACCTTCAGCAACATCACAAACTTGAGGCAAGCCTGAGCTACAAGAAACCCTTGTCTCAGAAAAAGTCCAGAAACAAGCTGGGCAGTGGTTGCACACGCCTTTAATCCCAACACTCGGGAAGCAGAGCCAGGTGGATCTCTGTGAGTTCAAGGCCAGCCTGGTCTACAGAGCGAGATCCAGGAAAGGCACAAAGCTACACAGAGAAATCCTGTCTCAAAAAACCAAAAAAAAAAAAAAAAAAAAAACCCAACCAAAAAAAGTCCAGAAACAAAACAGCCATTTTTGTTTTAAAGGCTATTAACTCACGATGCTTTTTTGTGTCTGCAGTACAGTGTTAGGAATGAAACGCAGGGCCTCATACACACTTGCTAAGTATGCTACCACTGAGCTAACCTTCTGACCCTGGTGGGAGACTCTACTGTACTGTCTGTGTAATATACCTACTTAATAACTGTCTCTGACATGCATCACAAAGTTTCATTTCTAGTGACTACCTTCTAAATTGGAAAAGAAATGCTAAATATAAATCCCAAGGCCTTCAAATCCTTATCTGATTCTGGAAGCCAGAACCTCCAGGTGGTCTTAGTCAGCCAAGCCACTAAGGGATCATTAGGTATTCTCTCCCTTTAAGAGAGTCAGTAACCTTTCAGGGCAAGTGTGGCCTTGGGCCCTCTTTGCCAAACCTCTGAGAACATCTGCTACAATAACCGTGAGCAAGAACCTCACCAGAAGAACACACTTTCTAGCCTCTTACTCAGCAAGAAGAGTTCTCTATTTAGGGGGAAAATCAGCAAAAGTACAACGTGAGTCACAACTAAGTACCCCAAACACTCAGACTCATTCCCTGTGCTGTTGCCTAACTTGTCAGGACAGGTCTAAAGCTAAGACTGGAAAGTATCTTTTCAAAAACTTACAAATGATGAGAACCTTGTAAGTGATAGTCTTTCAAACAGATGGAAAAATTCAAAGGACAAGGCAATGGCTGCCAATTACATCATTACTGTTAGCTTAGAGGGAAGTTTTCACTGTAACAGAATCCGAGCCCCCAACTCTAAAGAGAACCCCATGGCAACCATGGAATTTTCTATTAATACACCTTTTGTTTGAGATGGGGCCTGTCTATATGTACGTGTGCACCATGGTGCACGGCTTTAATAACCTGCTTAACTGGCATCAGGAAGTATGACTTGATCCCTTCTGGCAGAGTACTAATGAATACTGTAGGCAAGGCTAAACTGCCAGTTTCACAGGCAACGAGCTAGAGATCTTTTCTAGCATAAAGGGTACTGTCTGTGTACAAGAGGATAAATAACGATCCAACAATACCACTTTCAAAGTATTTCAAATTCCTAACACCTGAAAGCACTAGACAGCTGTAACCATGCTGTTTTTAAACAATCACTTGGTTTGTTTTTTAGTTTTGTTTTTTAAAAGCCAATCATCTCTGACATCTGGATGAAAACATGGGAATAGAAACATGGAGCAAAAAAAGGGACTTTATTAAAGAATTTACATGCAACATGATTAAATACCATTTTCTTGGAATTACTTTAAGCCAAGATGCTCATCACGGTCATCTCTTCCATCTTAGAAGAGAAGTGGTAAATACCTGCCCAATGTGCAGGCCCTTGGTTCTAACCCCTAGTAATGCAAGCAGAAACCAGAGAAAGCAAACCTAAAATAGTGTCATCTTCAAAGATATGGGAGCAAAATAAGGGGCTTCTTTCACCCAGTCACTTGATGACCCATCAGCACTGAGCACTGTCCTCACGGCAAACAGCAGCCAACTCCAAAGGACTCCACGCCCCATGCTGATGGACCTGGAATCTCATCTCTGGATAATTATTTTATGGAAGTACTGTCCTTAATCACCATTCAATCTCACTTTTAAAAATAACAAGACTGAATTACTATTTTCCAGAATCAGTAAGAACATCCTGTAACAAAGACAATAAAAATCAAGGGGAAGAACTACTGAAATATCATTTCCTGGAAGGAAAGTGTAGCTCAGTGGCGGAGCGTGTGCCTTACACTTGCCAGGCTCTCAGTTCAGAAGAAACAAGTTCCAGAGAAATTCAAATTCATTTAAGCCGGAGCTGGCCATGGCGACATAAGTTCGAAGTCCCACGTTCTGAGGAAGCTAAACCAGGACAATCACTGAGTCACAACTCAACACTAACCTAGGTGACATAGAAAGCCTCCATTTCAAAAATAAGAAAATGAAGCAAGACATCACACTTTTTGAGGTGTGCTTCTCTAAAACATATTTCTTTGCACCTGCAAGCAGAGTCCCCCCCTTTGAAAATTATGTATGAATGGAAAACATTTGTTGATCTGTTTTGGTTTGTTTGGTTTTTTGAGACAGGGTCCCCTTACAGCACCCACGCTGCTGTCCTGCCTTGGTCTCTATGCTAGGACTGTGTGTGTGGGTGTGCCACCACGTACCAGTTATCTTATTTCTGAGTTTTTTCACTTAGGAAATTATTATGTTTTTCTGCCTCAAACCGATCTGTAGTATTATTAGACTTGGAATCTTCTGCAATAATTTATCAAATATTCAGGGAAAAATTCTTTCGTAAATCAGGTTTTAAAATACATTTTAGAAGAACAGAGGAAGTTTGGCAGCAGTGTCATAAGCCTTTAATCCCAGCACCTGGGAGGCAGAGACAAGCAGATCTGAGTTTGAGGCCAGCCTGGTCTACAGAGCGAGTTCCAGGACAGCCAGGGCCATACAGTGAAACCCTATCTCGAAAAACAACAAAAACAAACAAAACCAAAAAGAGTACAGGAAGAAAACTTTTTTTCCAGAAGAGACCTATGCTAAAAGTCCACAATAGTATCGGATGTAACATCCTGAACAAACATCCTACTAAGCATGGCAAAAAAAGATCTGTCCCACAGCCCCGATATGATACTTGATCAAGCATCTGTCACAACAAAAGCGGTAGCAATTTTCTTCAAATCCAATTATTTTTGTACAACCAATATAATCTGGCTTTGTGGTAACAGCTCAAAAGCTGACCTCTGAGAGGAGTTAACCTATACATTGGTCACTATTACCCATTCAGGTAGTTTTGTGAGTACTTGCATAGTTTTCCAGGGTTATTGAGGCAGTTAACTGAGTCATTTATAGTATTTTCCAGAATACGTCAAGTGGGCAAAACTATGAAAATTTTGGACACAGAATTATTTGCAAAAGCACCTTTACAACAAAGGCTTGCAAAGTGAGAGTCACTGCAGCTCGGGCTGTTTCAAAGGCCTCCATCGCAGTGTCAACAGCACTATCTATTTCTCTGAGCTGCAGGGGTGATGGCTCAAGCACGGTCTTAAGTCAAAACTTTAATGGGGTTTAAATGCAAATCATTTCTAGTTTGCCAGATATCCAGTACCCAGATGACAGCTACATACTCATGACTTACTTCAACCGCATTTAAAGGCAGATGCTATAAATCTCTACAAGTATGAGCCAAAGTGGACTGTGCTAACTCAGCAGCAAAAAAAGCACTACCACTCATGTTTCCACTCATCTTCCTGCAACACCCCCGGGGTTTCACCTGCCCTTTCTCATTTAGACACATGGGAGCTCTGACTAGAAAATTTGCACTACTACAGAGACGAGTAATGAAGTTCAATGTCGCATCTGAGTTTTTTGCGTTAAAAAATGTAAGTTAAATCTAAACTCATGCTTAAGTGTTAACTTCATCTGCAACAAAAACATGAGGAATAAATACTGAAACCTGGGAAGTGATAAACAAGCAGAACTCATGGTTACCATATTTACACATACTCTTTGTTGTGTTTCAGTGCCACATGATCTGATTCAAAGTAATAAACATCAGGGTCATCCTCCTCCTCTTCTGCAGTGTGCTGACTGGCACTCTCTTTGGCAGATGGCAAATGTCCAATATTCATTCTGGCCTCTGAGGGTGACTGACTTAGTCCTTCACTTGCGTAGTTTTGAGAGTCACAACACAGAACCTTTTCATTTTGAGAAATTTCAACAGGATTTGTGGGAGACTCACTTACATTATCACTAACAGTTGTATTTGTTTCATTGGGACTGAGATTATTCTCCTCAAACTGTCCATTTTCTCGGTAAGGAGAGGTGTTTTTAGTGGGACTACCTCTGGTCGGAGCGGCCCTTCGAGGTGAAGTTCTCAGGGTATATCGGTGTTCTTGAGGTTCAGATAAAGACGACATCTGAGCTGAAGCACAGTCTAGCACAGAGGACAGCTCCGGCTCTGCAGAGACTGGCATGTTTTCAGTATCTGTGTCCAGAGGGTCACTGCTGTTCTCATCACACTGCTCTTTTGAGACACTGCTATCTCCCACCACATCTACTTCCTCCTCAGAATCTCTTAAGGATGACTGAATTTCAGAAACAGGGCCTGATGCTGGCTCAGCAGTCAGCTGATTACGGCGTTCCACGGGGAGACAGGCAGTTACTAGTTTGTGGTCCTCCAACTTGACCTGCACTTCTGACTTTGTGCAAGGCACGAGATGGTCTATACAACTGTCCTCCTTCCTACTACCAAAGAACATTGGAGTCTGGGTTTCTGAATCCCCATTTCCAGCTACTGATTTTTCCTGCAACACATAGGAACCAGTGCTATTTTGTTTAGTGTTCCCGTCAGGCTGACAGTCATCACAGTTTACAACAGCTGAGTCACTGTCATCAACACCATTGACAGTCAAGTAGCCTGCGATTTCTTCTACTACGGCAGCATTAAGTGGCCCTTCCTCACTGACATTCACCTTTTTAATTTCCCTTTTCTCACAATCATCCAATATAAGACATCGACAAGCTCGTTTAGTCCCTTGAAACTCGGCATCATGGTCCACTACTGTCCTCCTCTGTTCTACTGACTCCTTGTCTGGTTTTATAGGCGAATCTTCTTCTGAACTGTTTGTGGCTTCAGCTCTAAGACAGCGTTTACTGTTCTTCAGGACTGGCGGTGCCGGCTCTGTCTGCCTTCTTTCACAGCTCTCTAGGGCCTGCCTTTCTAGGTCATCCTTCTCTGAAGAGGAAAGTCTTCTTTTCCTAGGGCTTACCCATGCTTCTCGAGCACTCTGCTGCTTTACGTCAGAGGTTCTTCCGTTATTATTTCCTTTCTGAACTGGCACAGGCTCTGGTCTCTTCTTTGGTGATCTTGACCGTACTTGAGAATGAGCAGAGATCTCTTCTGGGTGAGCAATGCTACGGTTCCTTAACGTTCTACCACAAAAAGATTCATCCAAGCCGTTTAACCCCACTGTTGATCTTGTAACACGAGTAGATCGGGAAGCAGCCATACTATGGCAAGTCCCTACCATACGGTCATCATGATCCACTCATTGGGAAACCTTCAAAAATGTAAACAAAATAATGAGAAAGAGGTAATAGTTAATATATCTAAAACAAAAGTATAAAGTTATAACTTTTTATCCAAGTATAGCCATTATTAATAATGGGACAAAGGTTACTTTATTAAAATTTCCAATAATGACATTAGTAACAGGTAACAATTACGTACCATTTAATATATTCTAGGACTCCATGTTTATGTTTAACATACCTTCTCCCTGAAGTCTCACAACTCACACAGGAATAGCTATTGTACCTACTTTACAACTGAGGAGACTTGAGGCACAAACAGCCTCAATAATCTATTGACGGTCATATAGCCAGTTCATACAGAACTCTAGAGACCATGTTCAAGGTCTCTCTGCCTCTCAGAAGGGCACAAGGTAACCAGAAATGATGAACCTAAACATAAGATTCCATTTTGGTTAATAAAGTAACACTCTTGAAGTTATAGATCAGCTAGTTATCTTATAGAACACATTCTAATCAGCCTGAGGTTTTTACAAAAATGGTTTCAGGTTAAGTCCCTTGATAACAAGCTATTTGGCACATTGCTATGAAATTTCTGTAATTAAACAGTGGCCAGAAGTCCCAACACTAGCTTGCACTGGCTAACAACAGTCAATCAAAGCTTTAGTCTCTAGAGAAAGGCACCTACTATGTCAAAGTATTCTGAGGAGGGCAGAAAGCAAGAGCTATCCTCAACGGGAAATAGTCACTTCAGAGGTAAGGAATATCATTTCACATATATCACATGTGTGTGTACTTACACACACACACACACACACACACACACACACACACACACACACATACACACACATACTTTCCTTCCTTTGAGTTCTATATGTAGTGCAGGCTAGCTTTAACTTACTGCTTGGGAGATAAGAGAGTTTTCTGGTAAGGATGCTTGAACTTTCTAGGAGAATTAGGAAGCCTACTGGAAAATGTCCTCATTGATTTACCTGGGTAAACTCTGAAGAGCTAATGATATTCTCCAGGTCTTCCATGTTATCCAGAACAAAGGCACTATTAATATTCCAAGTCTCATCCCCCTTTCCCCCCCTGCTACTTTTCTTAGATATTTACCACTTCACTTGCTGCTCAATTCAAGTGGGGTACAGAGTGGATAAAGAAAGGATCAATAACAGCTATAATGCAACTTCACCACGCTCGCCTCTGCCTTTGTCACTTGCCCATGGCCCCCCTCACACAGAACCCTTCTAACACCATTTCATCTCCTCCCCATGCAAAGAAGCACATTCCCTTCTAGGCCTCAACTGCATTACCTACTACTGGAACTACAGAAGACCACAGCAACTTGTCACACAAGGAACACTAAACAAAACTGCTGCCCTGTTCTGGCTGCTGACAATGAGTACAGGAAGGAAAGTACCCTGTGAAATATGTTAAGTCGGCTGGATTTAGCTTTGTTCCAAAGCCGGGCATGCTTTAAAATCTTGAAAGCACAACTACTTGTTCTAGAGAATAACAGTAAGTATGGACACACCATCAGAGCAGAGACAGCGTCTCCCATGAACTTTACTATCTAAAGACTCACAGTAGCGGTCTGACTGTTGTTTATTTTTCTGCTTTACTTATAGGTAATAAATACTCATCAGTTCTCACTTCCAATTACAATAAATGTAAGTTAAACTTCAATGTGTTAAATGAACACAAACTGAAAAAATTTTAAAGCAATTTATTTCTTTAATGTACCAAAGCCTGGAGCTCTCAAAACTGAAGGTTATATACTAAATACCTATGTAAATGCAAATATAAAACTAAAAATAAGTTAATTTTATAAAAAAAACTATAAAATACAATGCAAATTTAATTATATTCATGATTTGTGATTGAAAAATATGAGAAATTCATTAAGCTTTATTTTTAATAAGCAATGCTCATTAAAGCTTATAAACCTCTGAAGTGATTTCAGTTAACTGGCTTCCTTAATCATTCTTTTCTTTACACAACAATCTGAACAAGGCACAAAATCTTTCTCTGTGATTCAGTAATTCAACTTCACAAAAGAGACTACTGAATCAGACATCTGTCATTAATAGTGAGAATTACTTTAAAAGTGTATGTATATATGAGTGAATATATAAAAATGTGTGTATGCACACAAACACAAATAAAACACTATCAAATAGAACTTATGAAAGCCTGTGTTTTTCTTCATGATTCCAGTTATAAAACTAAAACACTGATTAAGTCTCTTTCTGTGTCTTTTGTTCCCTAAAAAAGGTTTTCGTTCTAGCCACCGATTACAATTAAGCCCAACTACTGGGCTGCAATCACCAAGCAGCTGTCTTAGGAGAGGACTAATAAACTGTAAAATGCTAGAATAAATAAACAAAACATCTTTGGAGGCCAATGAGAAGAGCTCATCTTACAGGGAGTATTTTCTGGCATTTCAAACTGTTGTAATTCACACAGCCTTGAAAGTTCACATTAGAAGCATGTCCTGAAGCTCGATAGAAACCCAGACTTGCATTTGATACTTAGAACCGAAGGGAAAATGGCAAGAAAAAAGAAAGAACTGCAGAATATGAGGCCCTATCCAACCAATTCATACATGCTGGAGTATGAGAAACACCAAGATCACTGCACTCAGGCAGTAGCCTAACATCATAATTCAATCATCAGGTTGCAAACCAAATTAGATACATAATTCTCTTTAATATTTTACTAGATTCTAATGATTAAAACAAAACATTATAAATAAGGCCATGATCACTTTGGCTAAAGAAGCATCCAACAACAGATTGTACAATTATCTTATACACTTAAAGTAAAAACCTAATCAAATTATGAAGGCCAAGTAAAACAAATCTGTTATATTTTTCTTCCTCTTTCCTATTTTTGCATAAGCATACATGAAGTATACATACATTTTGCAATTATCTGATAAACTGAATATAAAAGCCATTCAATAAGGGACTTTTAATGAAGTATGTCTACATTATTCCAACCAAATTTCAATATTGTTGTGACAAGCTGATTTATTTAGCAAAGTAGTACAGACTAAAGCTGTTATTTTCTTTATTTTTAGCTAAATACAAAGTCACTAAAAAATCCAATAAAAAGGTTTGGGCATACAATTCTATTCTTGCCAACTATGAAGTTGCTATGGGAATAGAAGTGAACCCATTTGCCAATCAGCTCAGGAACACCCTTACTAATAAACTAAGAGACCTGGTGAAAGACTTAGCCATGCCCATTTGCTAATAGAAACTGAATTATTATTGTTATAGAAATAAGGGAAACCTGAGTTCACATTCTCATGTGGGAAAAACCCAACCTAGTAATGAGACTAAACTGGTCTATGTACCCACCAACTAATAAGCAGCAGCATTTTCTGGAAAACAGGGAGAGAATATGACCCTCACTAGAATTAAGCACACTTTGTCCTCTAGTCTCCCCCATCCTCCTACATTCTCATACTACTGAAGAGAATGAAAAGGAACAATCAACCAAACTTTTTCAGCCTGTCTACGCTGAGTTCCAAATCTCCCTAAATCCACACATCCTAACTCTTATCAGAGTTCCACTGAACCACCCTCCCCTAAACTTGAATGTACTTTCATAAAAACTATAAAACTGAGACAGTGTTAGCTCTTCCTGATCATAAACCTCTAGTCCCCATGCCTACACCCACATAACTGAATCAGAACCAAAGAAACAGGACAGATTAAACAAGAAAGGCCCACCCACTAGAAACAGCTCATGATGCAGCTCCACTTTTACTCAAAAACTATTTCTAATACCTGTAATCTTTGGCTCCTGCTCTACTCACCAAAAGTGTCCCAGTTTACTTTAGGAATTGAGGAGTTGGCAATTAACACCAATATTATTTTATTTTTATTACCTTGTTTTTCTTGAGACAGGGTCTCGCTATGTAGCTCTGGCTGTCCTGGAACTCACTATGTAGACTAGACTGGCCTCCAGCTCACAGAGACTCACCAGCCTCTGCCTTCTGAGTGCTGGGATTAAAGGTGTGCACCACCACACCCCGCTAAGTAACACCAATATTATCATCATCATATTAGTTTTATTAAGAGAACAACTTGTAGAAAACTGGTCACAATAACCTTATATTTTCAGGTACAAAGGCCAAAGTCAAAAGAAAAACCGAGTAAGGGTAACTGAGAGGTGTCACCAATATGACTTTCTTGCCAGTCTATAGCATAAGCTGTGCTCAGGCTTTGCTTCTCATACAAGTCTCTTGAGATGTAGTTTTTGAGACACGGTCTTGCTGTGCAGTCCTGGATGGCCTGAAGCATACTATGTAGCCCTGGGCTGGCCCTAAAACTCTACCAATCCTCCTGCATTCCTGGTGGTGGGATTTCAGGTGTGTACTGTCACAACTAGTTACACAACTCTTTTAAAAGACAGATTATTTCAATTGTACAATTAACACTATTGTAGCAGAACAGCACCTGTGACCCTTTCCACTCGATTTATAAAAGGTTAACAGTCACCACTTTGAAGTCTGGAAATTCTATCATGCAGTTATAAATAAAGGGATCTCTTCTTTGTTATCAAGAGTGATATAAGAGATGACTGATAAGACTGACAGCTACACAGGAAGACAGAGAATAGATTCAAATGAATACACGCTTAAGACAACTGAGAAGAGAAGTCAAAGAATTTCACACTGCTCCTTAAATAAGTACATTTCAAAGACAAGTTTAATGGTCTAGTCTCAAGATACCAACAATCATTTCATTTATTCATTTGTCGAGAAAAAAGAAATGGAAAACTATTTAATCTTCAGTCCATTCCCTACAGCTCGAGGATGCCATAAAACACGAAGGCAGAGAAAGAAGGATGTCAAGTAACATGTCTCCTCCCACCAAAGCAGATAAAATCAAACCACAGTTGTCTTCTCTACTGCACAACCGAGTAACTTACCTGCATAACCAAAGATCTATCATTGTGGAAACAGTCTTTCTTTTCCTTCTATCCTGAAGGAGATGAAGCTATGATCTACAATAGCGCTTAAGCTTCAGGCTCTGGGCTTCAGCCTCGGGGAATACTAGAACCTCTTAAACGCCTCTCTTTAAAATAAAATGATAAAAAAAAAGACATTAAATAAGGAAATTAATTTATGCTAACAATTTACTGTGACTACAGAAGTACACAGAGGCAGCAGCATCTTCACAGTGATGTTTTTGTGCTTCCTGGTTAAGTAGCCTCAGGGGCACTAAGCAACCAGGACAGAACTTGGAAGAAACTTGAAATATAACAAATCCTTACAAACAACTCAATTATTAATTTGAGTAAAATATGACTCAACCCTTTCTTGCAATTTGCTCTAATCTAAGGCATTTTCCCCCTCTTAAAGATGACCTAAAGGATTTCTCGAGGATTTCCTAGACTTAGGACTGAATATAAACCTAGGGCCTAAACAACACAAACCACAGGTTATGCATACAGCATGAATCCTCTGCACCATAGCACCCGTGATACTAAGTCCATTACTTTTTTGCCAATGCATTTTCTTCTTCCTTTTGTTTTTTGGTGGTGGTGTTGGTTTTCTGTTTTTGTTTTTGAGACAAGATCTCCCAACACAGCCCTGGTTGTCCTGGAACTAACTGTGTAGATCAGGGACCCTCAGAGACCCTCCTGCCTCAGGTCTTCCAAGTGTGGGGATTAAAGGTGTGCACCACCATAGCCGGCCATACAGATTCTTAACAAGAAAAAACTTGGAGTCAGATGAATGGGATTGGGATGCATAATATGAAATCCACAAAGAATCAATAAAAAGTTAAAAAAAAAAAAAGAAAAAGTTTTCGGAGTTAAATACTCAGTCTGATATTTTAATTAACCTAATAACATTCCAATTCTTGGCATATTATAATTAACTGCAGGTTTACTAGTATGTTAATGATATCTTTTCAGAGAATATATGCTGTAACTAATTGGATTATTTAGGAGTACCATCCGCATATAACAGTACTAGAAAAGAGATAAGCAGATGTTTTTGACTAACCTTGCCATTTTATTTTAAGCATTAAATTAGATATTGTTAAATAGGTACTATTTTAAGTGAAGTATTATAATTAAGGGCTGATGCAATTATCAAATCTTGTAAACCAGGGTTCTATCTAGTAAAATGAATAGATTAGTGTTAAAGGTGATGTTAAAGATCTATTTAAGCATAGCCAACAGAATCTAAATAAGTATAATGATCCAATGCCAGCTATACTTACTTTAATGTACATAATAAGCTTTGCATTACTGTAAATGCTATAGTATTCTGCTGGTTTGAGTCTTTGTTTTTGTTTTGCTGAGACAGGGTCTCTCTATATAACCTGGGCTAACCTAACTCACAGAAATCCATCTGCCTTTGACTCCTAAGTGCTGGGATTAAACATGGGAGCCAGCACACCTAGACTGTTACTTTGTTTTTTGAGATAGGGTTTCCAGTAGCCCAGCTTGACCTCAAACCTCCCTATGTTGCTGAACTTGAACTCCCAAGGGCTGGGGTGCACAAATAATCACACCTGATGTTTCTTTTGCTGGTTTTCAGGCAGGGTCTTTCTAGGCCCTGGTTGTCTGGAACTCAGGATGTAGATTTTGCTTCCTGAATGCAAGGATTAAAGGCATGCACTTCCACATCCAGAACTTCTGTAATACTTAAAGTAGATTTTATTTACTTATTTATTTATTTTGTGTTTAAGCGTGCCCTCTCATTCTAATATCCTATAGAATTGACTTTAGGGCTGGAGAGATGGATTACCAGTTGGGAGCATTGGCTGCTTTTCCAGAGATCCTGAGTTCAATTCCCAGTACCCACAATGGTGGCTCACAACCATCTATAACTAACTATATTCCCATGAGATTCATACCCTCTTCTGCTGTGCAGACAAAACACCCATTAACATAAAATAAATAAGTAAAATTAAAATAAAAAAAAGAACTGTACTCTACATTTTTACCCTTGAAATCCCTTATTACTCTTCCTACTTATATTAATAAATTAATAAGTAGGAAGAGATTGCTTCTCAGAGAGGAACAGAGGTATGACCTACCAACTATAAATGCAACCTCTCCTTATAAATTCTACAGTGTACGAAGTGAAAACCTGCTATTTTCCCCTCTATTTGTTTAAAGCTCTAAATTAGCATGAAGGGGTACACAGGGAAAATATGACTCTACAAAAAGTAAGCTGACTTGAAAGTTTAGCCTCATACTGAAGACTCCGACTCATAACTTCCTTGCCCTCCCCAGATGTCCATCACAACACAGAGCAGGACACAATCCATAGAGTGATGACCACCATCAGCACCTGAGGCTCCATGCACACTGAAGGGCTGAAGCACTCTAAAATCCCAGGGACACTGCTAGTCATTTCTCAGGGGGGCTCAGTTCAGGGTATCATTCACTGTACTTGCCAAATAAGAATATCTGCTATTGTTATCTTCACAAAAGAACTCATAAGTTATAGCTGAGTTCTAGTTTTAGACAGGCTCCTGTGGACATTTAAAGCCTGATACACTGGAAACACCAGCCAATGATGACTTCTATCTCACTTGGCCTTAGAGAATATCATATTCTTTTCTTACCTTTTGAAGTGTTTCGCCTAGTACTTAATTCCCAAGCATCTGTATTTATGTGTCATCACTGTTAATGTCCATGTTACACTGAGACTTCAGGAATTATTTATACGGCTGCACTAGCACTTGTTATCTGTGAAGGGAAATCACAATATGGTCACTATGACTATGTTACTGTTTACAGATTTATGAATAACAAAAATACTTCAAGATACATGTAACAGACATCATTCTAAGTTCCTTAACTAATTCCTTCTATTTACCATGATATATATTACCAGAGAGAGATGATTTGTTAACATTCTTACATTTCTGTCAAGTATTCCCAATTTAAATTTTTGTAAAGCAGAGGGCCTTATATTGAAGACATACCTCATTTTTGAAGTTCACAATCAATCAGTTTTTAACAAGAAAGCACCTTTTGGTGTTTTATGATACTATTAAGAAATCAATACGATACTTAGAACCTGACAGGGGCCAGAAAGATGGCTGAACAGGTCAAAGTATGAAAACACACACACACACACACACACACACACACACACACACACACACAATAAATGTGGAAAAAAAAATGAAGTGATGGGGCCAGGAAGATGGCATCATTAATAACAGCTTGCCACACAGACAAAGGACCTTAGGTGAAATTCCCCAGGGGTATATGTGTAGTGGGTAGCCATTCCAGCTTTGATCTGGAAATTCCAACCGCCATTGAGGCTTCGGCAACTGTCACGCCTACAAGGCGGGGCCAAGGGAGGCGCCTGGAGACCCAAGATCAGGATGGGCAATGCGCCCTGCTCCTGTACCCTAGACGGTGGAGGTTGACCTAGCAGAGCTTCAGAGAACACCGCTGGACTGCAATACACCTTCCCCAGACCCTACAACCTACCTATCCCTTCATTTGTAAGTTACCCACTAAATAAATCTTCCTTTTTAACTATGTGGAGTTGTCTTAATAATTTCCACAATATATATATGCCTGTAATCTAAAGCTGGGGAGGCAAGAGAACAGGGAGATTGATGGGTCTTGATGGCCTGCCAGCATAACAAACTGTTAAGGCTCCAGGTTCAGTGAGTGACTCTATCTCAATAAGGTTGAAAGCCAATGAAGAGGACATCTAATGCTGCCCCACAAAGAAATAAAGTAGGGGGAGGGGGAGTTCCTCTTAAATATAACTTGAAAATTCTTGATAGGGGCTGTCCAGGCCCTGTCCAGTTGGAGTGTTGTTCAGGACAACAGTATAGCACTTGTCTACCATGTATGAGGTCCTAGGTCTGATTTCAGGCATCACACACATGTACACACAAAAGCCCACATGCACATGTGCACATAGTTCTTTTACAGTAGTCTTACACCCTCTACAGGACTAATGTATCAGAACAGACAGGGAACTAATGATTTAAACAAAGGTGGAGCTAGTGTGGTAGCTCCTGACAGTAACCCCAACACTCAGGAGTCTAATTAGGCAAAAGGATGCAGAGATCCTGCCACTCTGGACATAGGAGTCCTGTCTCAAAATCACTAACTTAAGGGGACAAGGACATAGTTCAGTGACAAGATACGGACTTAGCATGTGTGGGACTCTGAAGTCACTCAAAAACACCCCTGAAATCCAGGTATTTTTTCCTAAAAATCAAGTTCTTAATGCTGGACAGTGGTGGCGCATGCCTTTAAGCATGGTCTTGGGAGGCAGAGGCAGGAAGATCTCTCAGTTTAAGGCCAGCCTGATCTACAGATGAGTTCCAGGACAGCCAGGGCTACAGAGAAACCTTGTCCTAAAAACTGAATGAATGAATGAATGGATGGATGGATGAATTCACTTAAAACAGCCGTTGCTGATCACATACCTAAGATGCATCCCTGTGATCAGAAGGATGGCAGGAAGAATATGAAGTTGAGTTTTACCAGGCTCAACGGTGAGCACCCCCAGTCCTGTTGCTCAGGAGGCAGAGCAGGAGGACTGACTGCCTGAGCCCTGGTAAACACTGCACTCCAAAGTCTTAAGTCACTTCAATCCCTGTACCAGTGTGTGTATGTGTGATTTAATGTTTATTTCATACATACCAAAGAAAAATGCCTATACTGCCACTCCAAATTCCCACATTATCGAAAAGTCAAAAGCCATATAGAAAAAAGCATAGGTAACTATATACCTGTTTTGTGGATAAAAGAATTGTCAAACCAGGTATGGTGGCGCACATCTGTGGTCTCAGCACTTAGGAGGTAAAGGCAGGAGGGTAACAAGTTTAAGGTCATCCTCAGCTACATCTGCAGATAGATAGATGGCCTGAGCTAAATGAGACCTTGTGTTTAACAAAAGAAAAAAATTAACATCAGCCTAATTATTTCCTAAAACTCAAAGTAATTCAACTAACCAAATACTCACACCACCTTCATGATGCCCTTCCTTTATTCACATAGATTTCAAAGTCAGGCTTTCCACCAAAAAAATAAAAATTAAAAATGCTGTATTATTTTCTGAAGCAGAG